CCTAACCCCTTGGCCAGCCCCTGTGAGAGTCTATCTTTCCTTCCTGATACGTGGGATTGCTTTGGTCTTAAGTGGCCCTGTAATGGCCCAGATTGGCAGCCCCCGCTGGTGCCTGGCCAGCCACATGCTGCTTCGTCTACAGTTCCCCAGCAGCACGGAGAGAAGCGCTCTCGGCCAACTGGACATTGACGAAATGAGTCATCTTTTTAAAAAAATAAAACGGAGGAGGCTTACAATCAGAGACCCAAGTTATCTTTACGTGGAGGAGGATTTGCTTTCCATGAATACGGGCAGGATTTAAAAAACCTGGGAATCTGGGCTGAAGTTTCAGAGGAACAAGGAGAGGGAGTTTTAATTGAAAGGTCCTAAAGAGCTCGGAGCTGCGGTGGCTCAAGTGGTTAAGATGCTGAACTGCAGGCTGTGGAAGGTGGGTAGTTCAGCAGCTGGAGACCCGAGTGTGCCGCATGACGGAGTGAGCTCCTGTCTCTGGTTCCAGCTCTTGCCAACCTAGTGGTTCGAAAGCAAGAAATTGCAAGTAGATAAATAGGTACCACTTCGGTGGGAAAAAGGTAACAGCGTTCTGTGCGCCTTGGTGTTTAGTCATGCCAGCCACATGACCACGGGAACATCTTCGGACAGCGCTGGCTCTTCAGCTTTGAAATGGAGATGAGCACCGCAACCCTAGAGTCGGATTCGACTGGCTTTCGAGCAAGGGAACCTTGACCTTTACTAAAGAGCTCAGTCGCGTTTGCCTTCCTTTCCTTTGGCTGGAGCCAGCCTAGTGGAGAGGTCAGAGGGACAGCCTGGGGTGGGGGGAAATTGGGTTCCAACCTTCCCTCTGTCCCGGGAGCTCACTGGGTGACCTCGGTCCAGTCATTAACACACACACACCCCAGCCTAGCCTGCCTCACCGGGCTGTGGTTGAGAAGGTTAAACGGTGGAGGGAAGGAGGCCGTTGCAAGTTGCTTTGGATCTCCACGGGAGGAACAAAGGGGGGGTATGGATGACCCAACAAATAAACCACGGCTGGCACTCAATCTGTACACATCCCGCTGGGTGTTAGACTGAAGCAGCTCCACACGAGCACAGGCGCAAGAGACCAGCCACCCCTTCCTGATGCTGCTGAGGTCTGAGCGCAAAGGCGACCGTGGCTCCCTGGAGAGGCGATCTGGACCGAGTGAGGAGACACGACACAAGTGTGGTCCGTTTCTGTGGCTCCAGTGGATGTTTATCGATTGAAATATAAAAGCATAAAGGAGATGCAGCTTTATGTAGTAACTCTGAACAGGAAGCGAACAAGAAATGATGTGGCACTCCGTGGCCAGTCTGCCCCCGGCAGTGGTCTTCTTCAGCCCAACGGTTCTGAACCTGCTGCCGCCGCCGCCGGCATCCTTCCTCCTGCCAGGTCAGACTCATGAGCCCCTCGAGGACAGCCGTACCGTTTTGCCTGCTTTCTGGAAAGACATGCGACAGGTGTGCACACATCTCTGGAGAGCCTGATGCACCCGTCGCCTCCCTGTGCACAGATGCGGAGGAGCAGGAGCAGAGCACAGTGAGGCATGGCCACGGACCAGTGGAGGCCACCACTTCGGCCAGGTCTCTCTTCCACGGAGGTGCGCCTCCTGGGGCCTCGACTGAGTTTCCTGCCCCCAGCTCTTGTGCTGAGTGGCCCATGGCCCCCTGGCGTGGGTGAGGCCATCTCTGGCTCCTCCTCTTCCTGCCGCCTGTGGGGTCATGGGCCTTCCCGCTCAGGAGATCCCACACTGCCCTCTGAGGGCTATTAAAGGCTGGTCCTGGACCACAGCTCTGCACTACATGACCAGAACGATGCCTCATGTGGATCGTGAACACGTGAATCTGCCTTCGACTGAATCAGACCCCTTCCCCCCCCTGGGTCCATCAGAGTCCGTATCGTCTCCTCCAGGGTCTCAGGCAGAGAAAGGCCTTTCACCTCACCTCCTGCCAGGTCCTTTTAGCGGGAGGTGCCTCTGGGGATTGATCCTGGGACCTCCTGCATGCCAAGCAGATGCTCTACCACTGAGCCACGGCCCCGCCTTCCACGCTGTGGCAGCACACACCCTCTTTCCTTTGTAGGAGGCACGTGTGTATGTCAAGAGGCCTCACAGTAACCCAAATAGGATGGGGAGAGAATCCCTGTTTATCCAGGCAAGCTCTCCGCTGCTCACTGGGAGGCTTCTGAATTATCAGCTCCAGAGACGTTTCTCCGCCTGTGCTGTGGGAAGGAGCATTTGTTCCTGAGGTGGGACGAGAGACAGGCCGCTTGCGAGGACT